AGTTAAATTTTTGTCACAAAACTCATGGGGATAAAATGAGATCACATACTTAAAACATTTTTTGAAATGGATCAAATATTGTGAGCAAAATTCTCCCCCTCCTTGGCCCTGGCATGGGACAGGTGCCCAGAGGGAACTCAGATGGCAAAAGTCACAGTGTATGAATTCAAATATAGGACGTTAGCTGCTATCTTCAAATCCATAAATGAAATTTGGTCTTTGTGCTTCCTGGGACACAGTCATCAGATCCAGGAGGTCAGAGGGTTTATTCACAGACACAGATCAGGATTGAGAGTGGGTGTCAGCCAAAGTCAAAAGTACACCCCGTACCCTCTTCTAATATTTAACAAGGTGCAGTGACCTCTGATTTAACTGCCTGTCTCTTACATGCATGGGTAGTGCTCTTGTTGCCTGTGGTTTTATAGTTTGACTCTTTGTTTGGAATTCACAGAGACCCAGGAGACTTGTTTCATATCTTATGTGAGGGATTTGGGTGTGTCTCTTTATCTTAATTTTCAGTTGGATATTCAGTTTATTTCATAATGTTTCACAGAAGTTCAGGAGGTGTGGCAAGAGGATTGAGCAGCGATTGGGTGGCAGGGGACTCTTCCCAGTTCCCTTCAAGTCACACCACCTAAAAGGCCCCTGTATACAAAAAGAGTCCCACACATTCTCCTATGTCCTTCCCAGGTTGTGACCAGGGCACAACCCCAGCCTCAAAAATCCTACAGAGAAGTCTCCAAGAAATATGAGTTCACAGTATGAAATAAAAATGAGTTAAGATCAGAAACATGACAAGAATGTCTAAGACATCTAAGTATTTGTGAAGGGTACCCCTAGAATTGTGCAGTGTACAACCCACACAACTGTATACATCAGCCCTGAGACTATTCTCTGTCGTGACTATTACTCCACACTGCCCTGGAAGGCCAAGAAAAGGCAATGAGATTAAAAAAAAAATAAGCTGTATAAAGATTAGGAAAGAAGGAACAAAACTCTTGTTATATATATATAATATGACTATTTACCAAGAAATTCCAAAGGAATCAACTGATAAACTTTTACAACTCTTAAGAGAATTCAGTAAGGTAACCAAACAAAATATCAAAACACAAAATAGATTTTCTATATATCAGTAAAAAATCAATTAGAAACAATAAAGCTGTAATGGAAATTGGCTCAGAAAAAGGAAATAAAAACAGAGTATCCAGCAACAGACATGTAAAAGTGAGAATTTAGTCCATGATAGCGGTGACATTTCAAGTGAATAGGGAAAGAACGGGCTTTTCAATACATGCTATTGGAATAATTCATAGAAATTAGTTCCAGTGGACTAAAGACCTATTTTTTTAAATGATAAAAGTATTAGAAGAAAATGTGCCAAAATATCACCATAATCTTGAAGGTTGAGAAGGCATTTTTAAATAAGACCTAAAGAGCAAAATCCATAAAGGAGGAAATTAATAAATTCAACTACATCAACATATTAATAGCAATAACAATAATAGTAAATACTTCCTTTGGCTAAAAACACGATGTAAACAAAGTTAAAAAAACAAGTGACAGGGCTGGCCCCGTGGCTTGGCGGTTAAGTGCGCACGCTCCGCTACTGGCGGCCCGGGGTCGGATCCCGGGCGCGCACCGCCGCACCGCTTCTCCGGCCATGCTGAGGCCACGTTCCACATACAGCAACTAGAAGGATGTGCAACTATGACATACAACTATCTACTGGGGCTTTGGGGAAAAAAAAGGAGGAGGATTGGCAATAGATGTTAGCTCAGAGCCAGTCTTCCTCAGCAAAAAGAGGAGGATTAGCATGGATGTTAGCTCAGGGCTGATCTTCCTCATAAAACAAACAAACAAACAAAAAAAAAACAAGTGACAGACTTGGAGAGAATATTTATTGTATGTATATCAAAGGATTACCTCAAGAATAAATATTAGGGGCCGGCCCGATGGCGCAAGCAGTTAGATGTGCGCACTCCGCTACAGCGGCCCAGAGTTCGCTGGTTCGGACCTGGGCACGCACCGACGCATTGCTTGTCAAGCCATGCTGTGGCAGTGTCCCATATAAAGTAGAGGAAGATGAGCATGGATGTTAGCACAGGGCCAGTCTTCCTCAGCAAAAAGGGGAGGATTGGCATGGATGTTAGCTCAGAGCTGATCTTCCTCACCAAAAAAAAAAAAAAAAGAGGAGGATTGGCAGATGTTAGCTCAGGGCCGATCTTCCTCACACACACACAAAAAAGAATAAATATTAGACTCATACAAACGAGTGGGAAAAGATAACCCAATATACAATAAGCTAATGATATGTATAGGCAGATAAGAAGAGGAAACACAATGGCCAAGAATTATATAAAAGATGCCCAACCTCACTGGTTGTAATGGGTTGACTCATGTCCCCCAGGACCTCAGATTGTGACTATATTTGGAGATAGGGCCTTTAAAGAGGTGAGTAAGTTCAAATGGGGTAGTTAGGATGGGTCCTAATCCAGTATGACTGGTTCTTGTAAGAAGAGAAAATTTGGACACAAGAGAGACACCAGGGATGGAGGCACACAGAGGGAAGGCCGGGTAGGTGGCCGTCTGCAAGGCAAAGAGAGAGGCCTCGGAAGAAACCAAACCCACTGACACCTTGATCTTGGACGTCCAGCCTCCAGAACTGTGAGAAAATAAACTTCTATTGTTTAAGCCATCCAGTCTGTTGTGGTATTTTGTTATGGCAGCCTTGGCAAATGAATAAATTAGTAATCAGGGAAATTTAAATCTTTTCTAAATGGGGTACTATTTTCACTCATCCAATTGGAAAATTAATAAAACGTTTAATAAATAGCAAGCATCAGGGTATGGAGGAACAGTAATTATCGTTCTCTGCAGGTAGGAGTATAATCTGGTACAGGCACATGGAGGGTAATTTGACAGCATCAAAAATTAAAATGCACATATCCTATGATGTTGCAATCTAACTTCTCAGTATCTCCTTTAAAGAGACACTTGCACATGAGCACAAGAAGACATATACAGTGAGGATCACTGTAGCATTGTTGGTAAGAGAGAAAAAATGGACACAGCTTAAATTTCTATTAAAAAGGAGATGGCTATCTACAAGGACTGTACTCTGTGGAATACTATGTGGCAGTTAGAATTAATGAGGTAGTGTTATAGATAGACATGGTAAGTCTCCATATGGAACACGGATATGGAAAGTTTGTTAAGTGAAAAAACAGAATGAAAATAATATGACAACAAATAGTTTATATAAATAGTCATGTGCCACATAATGACATTTTGCTCAATGATGGATCACATGTACAACAGTGGTCCCATAACATCAGTACCATATAGCCCAGGTGTGTAGGAGGCTGTACCATCTAGGTTTGTGTAAGTACACTCTATGACATTCACTCAACGACGAAATCACCCAGCAACGCATTTCTCAGAACGTATCCGTGTTCTGTTAAGTGACACCTCTCTGTATATGTATATGTGAATTACCGTCTGGTAATAAACACACCCAACTGGCTGTAGCAGTTACTTTCGAGGGACAGAGGATTAGCATTGGCAGGGTGGCTGAAGGAGAATTTAGCTTTATCCATACTGTCTTTTCATTTTACAAGGAGCATGTAATCATGAATTACGTCTATAATTTTAAAAAGCTGTTACCTACTAACAACAGTTTAGTCACTTTTGTGGTTCTCTCTTACGTCTATTCCATAATAATTGAGGAACAAGCTGATAGCTTTAGACTAGGAGTTGGTGACATTTTTCTGTAAAGGGCCAGAGAGTTAATATTTCAGGCTTTGGGAGCTACTGTGTTTCGCAACTACTCAACTCTGCTACTGCAGGGCAAAAGCAGCCACAGACGATATGTAATGAGTGAGCATGGCTGTGGGCCCGTAAAACTTTGTTCACGAAAACAGCTGGTGGGCTGGGTTTGGCTTGTGAGCTGCAGTTTGCCAACCTCTGGTTTAGACTAAGTTTATTATACAACTAAAATGCATTTTAAATAAGTATGTTTGCTGTATGGAAAAATAATCTTTCCTATTAACCAACTGATTAAATAAGTAGTAGCCTCTGGGGCCTTGCTTAGAATACTTTAGACTCCGGCCATATCATCGGAGACTGAACGCCCATCCCAGTGGAGATAATCCTGTCACCTTGGCCGTCTCGGTGGTGACCATTGACTCTCCCAGCAGCAGAGTCACACAACCACCCCGTGTGGGAGGGGGACAGTGCCTGCCACAGCTGACTCACTGAATCAAGGTTCGGTGGCCTCAGAGGTCACGTCTGACCGTCCACAGATGTGGAGTTGCCTTAAGGCGAAGCCTCTGGCCACAGCCTCAGCCAGACTGGGCTGTGATGCGGGGAGAAGGAGGGCTCGGTGGCACTGAGCACACGTAGGAGAGGCTCAGCTCTGTGGGACAAGGTGCCTCCCCCACAAACCAAGGTAGAAAACTCATTGGTCCAAAGCCAACTCTGTCACAGGGCTGTGCAGGGGCGTAGCAGGGCCTCTGAGGGACCCCTCACTGAGGTGGTGAAGCTCTGGGACTGTCAAGCTGCTGTCTCAGCCTTGGTCCCAGGAACTGCCAACACTAACCCAGCAGGCTGAAAGGAGCCAGGGCTGAGCTGTTCCCAGCTCCCACAGTCCCAGACTGGGGTTCTTTCTGGGTCGGGAGATTCCAGCCCTGCAACAGAGAGGCGGCTGATTTTACGTATGACTCATGGCAGCTTATGTAGAATTGAGGTTTCCACTGTGATTATTTCTCTAGGAGGCAAGTGTGGGGTCAGGGAGCATCGTTAATGGGACTCAGTATTAAGTGATTGTTTTCATGGTTTCTTCCAACCTGGAAGTGTGGAGAGCAGCAAGGCCGACATGATACACAACCCCCTACGTTGCTGACCTCAAATGTAAGATCTATTTGTGTTCCCACACTTCTTTTGCATGGGGCTAGGGGGCAGTCCACCCCCTGCAAAAGAAAAAGAAAGAAAAATCATACCTGCTTGGTGATAACTTCTTGGCTGTGACTTCTCCTTTGAGGTCCGCTTTGAGCAATCAGGAACAAATGATCAACCAAAATATCAATACTCCTGAAGCAGCGGTCTGGGGAGAGACTGGAGTATTAGCTTCACCTTTTGCTTTTCGCAGGAGTGAACTCTTCGCTGCGCGGAGAGGCTGTGGCTCCTGCTGAAGTCTAGGCCGTGCTTCGTCTTCCCGTCCTGGTCACAGGTTATTATTTCCCAGCATATGAGCCAGTCTTGTCTCTCACCTACATTTCAGCCCAGGTCAGGTGTAGGCTCTGAGCGCCACCCGTCTGGCACTCCTAAGTCCCAAGTCCAGCACTCGAACCAGCAAACGAACAGATTACCATATTTACTCTCACGACGTGCCCCCCGCTTTTTTCTCTCACGTGTCTTCACTGTAAAACATAGGAGAAGGGGGGAATGTTGCTAGTATCTGCTCTGCCTAATTAGTTCTGAGCAAATGTCATGCATCTGAGGGTCTCTGCGCTTTAGCCACTAGGCAGAGTTAATTTGAACCTAGATCTCCTGCCCCTTCTTCCTTTGTCTAAGCCACCTTCCTGGACAGTGTTACTTGACGTGAAAGTGAGCAATGTATTGGATTATGATGGCAGGTTTATGTCAGAGAGAGACAGGCACAGGGAGAGAGGGGAAGAGCGTGAGATGAGGTGGCCAAGCCCAGATCATGAGGGTGCGTGCGACCTGCGGCTCCAACCTCAGGACCGCTGGCTGACCAGGAGCAGGGAGAATGACCATGGGGAAAGGTCCTAAGGGTTCTTTCCTACTCCAGGCCTGCCAGGAGCCAGCAGCTCCTCACTCCTCAGCCTAATCCTTCATGTTCCCCAGCAGCAGCTGCTGATGGCTGTTCTCGCTCTCAAGGGAAAAGACTAGACAAAAAGCTCAGGTGGGTGGGTTTCACAAGATGTTTCTTCTGCTGGCTTTGATTTTCAAGGAAGCTTTATGGAAGATGTGAGGAATGCATTGGGCCCATGCTTCAGACAATGGCAAAG